ACTAATTGACTGGGGTGCAGCCTCTAGAGGATTTACATTCTGTTAAGGTGTGCATTCTCCTGGGGTGGTCATGCCCCCACGGGGGTGAAAATGGGTTCTTGGAAGGGGGAGACTATCTCTGACCTTCTAATTTCATGCACTGTTTTGTATGCTCATCACCCTGTTCACTGTCTCAGTGAGTAGCCCAACTAGCCATCTAGTCAGTAACCTGGGCATCACCATCAATTCAAGTTGCCAACCCTCTCCGAGCTCAGGCTCCTGATTGCCAGCCTCACGGCAGCCCAGTCCATAAAGACTTCCTGTCTCCCTGAAAATTAATCCTGCCTGTCTCCACTGCTGCCCTGCCCAGATCCCAGAGCCCAGAGCCTGGGCATCTCTTTGGCCAACACTTAGGCCCCTGGGCCCTTGCCCCCCGCCCCCCAATCTGGCAAAGCCCTAGGCCTGGATAAATCCCACTCAGTGCTTTCCCCCTGCCTATATCCAGGTTGGTGAACTATGAAGGCAAATCACTCAGCAGAACAGGGCAGGACACACATAAATGAATGACCAGCGCCCTCAACTAGGTTGACAACACCATCCAGCAATTAGGGATTCTCTAGGCAAATTTGCTCTTCAACTCTCTGAATGCTCATTGTCCTCCTTCCTTCAAACGCCTCCCCACCTCTTCCTCGCTCACAGCAGACCTTGCCTCCCACTTGGCAGAAAAAATAGAAGTTGGAGATGAAATCTCCCTTAGCATCCCACTGCAAACCTACATCTACATCTGCACCCGGCCTCTCTTTGTTCCTCCTTTTGGTTCTGGAGAAGCCATCCCTCCTCCTCTCCCAGACCAACCCCTCCACCTACTTGCCTGATCCCACCCCTCCCACGTGCCTGTGAACATCCATGCTGATTGTCTCCCCTGTTTCCTGCACCCCTCATTGATCTCTCTCCCTTTGATCTCCTATCAGCCTTTAAACACACTCAAGTCTCTTCCACCTCACAACACACATGGACCCTGGCTCACAGACGCTCTCTCCTCCCCTTCACACAAAAACCCCTCAAAGGACCCACAGCCTCCCTCAGCCCTCCTTCACTCCGTGACCACTGCCGTCTGACCTTCTCCATCGTTCCACAGAAGTAGCACTCTACCTAAAGCCACCAAAATCCCCCGCCTGTCATTAAACCAAAGCCAGTAGTTCCACTCTCGTCCTGTCCCACCTCTCAGACTCTCCCCACTGCCCTGAAACTCGCCCTTGCCTTCCTTCCCTGCAGCCACTCCCCGGGGCTCTCTCTTCCCTCCTCCTCCTTCGCAGACGTATCTGTCTTTATGCAGCCCTAAGCTGTGGGTGTGCCTTGGAGTTCCATCCTGGACCACTCCTCTTGTCTCTTCATGCTCTCTCTCCCTGGGCAACCCTGCCCTCATCCACAGTCTCATTGATCATGTCTCTACAGACCACTTCCCATCTCCATGTGAGTCAAACCCAGGCTTCCAAGTGCTTACTCAACATCTGCATTTCCATCTCAACATGTCTAACGAGGAACTTTCACTTTCATGTCCCCTCCCCAGCCTTCCCCTCCTCGCTCATTCCCCCGTCCCAGTCCTCTCCGGTGTCCCCTGTGTCTGTGAAAGTCACTGTGTGCCTGTTTGCACAGAGACCTCTGAGTCCATTCTAGTACTCACGTCTCTTACCTTCCTTTTCAATACATCTCTGTGATGATTTTACTGCCCAATAACTCTGGAAGCTTCCACAGCTCCCCAACTCCACTGTCACCAGCACCCCCTCCATTCTCTCTGGATGCCTGCCTGCACTCCTAACCCTAACTTATCTTCCTGCATTTACTCATACATACTATACACTACTCCCCTCTCCCCTGGGCATTCACACAGGTCACGTAAACATTCAAATGTCCTCCTGTCACTCTCAGGCTATTCTGTCAATGGCTTACAGTCATCCGTAGGATGGAAAGAAGGTCCTTCATGTGGAATCTATCCTCCACCCACTTTCTATACTCCCCAGTCCCTCTGCTGTCCCTCGGGGCCCTGCTACAAAGCACTTGACTACCTCCTCTCTCAGCTGTACCTTCTGCCTCAGGCCCTTTGCACAGCTTCTTCCCCCAGGATTCTCCCCTACACATGGTTAAGCTTTCCTCACAAACACCACTTCCTCAGAGACTCCTTCCCTAACACTCAAGAAAAGATAGATCTCTCCTTCCTATCGGATGTTTTCACGGGAATGGCTAGCATACACATACACACAGCACTGCTGTTAGCAGCTCTTCTGAGCATTTCCCCTGAGAACTCATTTACTCCTCATGAGGACCTTACGAGGTAGAAATTATAATTATTTTACGGATGAGGAAACTGAGGCACAGAGAAGTTATGTAATTTACCAAGGTCACATCATTAATAAGAGGCAAAGCCAGAATTTGAACCGGGGGCAGTGTAACTCCAGGGTAGAAAACACTGTCCTTTTCCTTTCTGCACTTACTCTAGCAATGAATTGGCATAACTATTTGTTTAGCGTGTGTCTCCCCCATTAGACTGTAAACTCTATTGGGATAGAGACCATTTCATCCTCAGTAGTGGGTACTCAGTAAGCATTTGCCAAATAGCTATTTGTAGATCAGTCTCTTCCCTCTTCTTCCTTCACTGCACTCAGTCAGTCACATGGTCCTGTCCCTCCCCTCCCCCTTTCTTCCTGGTGCATTCCTAGGAGGTTCAGTATGTGCTTATCTATGTCCTGAAATTTGATGGGAAATGTTAAGTGTCTGTACACATTCAACGTTTTCTAGAGCAAAGACTGTCGTGCTGTCTTCAGATTCTTAACGGGTCCACGAAGTTATAAAACAGCTCATTCAAATAGTCCCCAGCCTAGCTCATCCTGTCCCCGCCAACTTCCGCTCAACTTCCTCTCAACAACCCCACAGCCTCTAGTCTTTATCTCTGCGAATCCATCCTCCACACTTGGATCATAGCAACCTTTTAAAAACACAAATGCAGGCCACCCTCCTGAATAACACCGGTGAGAGACTACCTATTGTTTTTTGAAGTGCAAACTCTGCTGGTGGGTGAGGGGGTGCTGTAGGCACCGTCTACTTCTTCATTCTCATGTGTTCTCACGTGTTCCCTCTTCCTACCCCCACCCCCCACCCTACAGCCCAGCAGCATGGACTGAGTTCTATGTTTGGGTTTGCCAACCTATACCAGCCTATGGCTTTTCCTGTGTTTACTCAGGTAGTGTTTCTGCCTGGGATGCCAGGCCTTTCCTCTGAATCTAGAAATCCCTACTCCATCTTTAAGCTTCAGCTTAGATGTCTCTCTGGGTGCCCCTCATCCCTGCTCCTGCAGGCTCTGCCTGGCCCTGACAATGCACATACGGAATTGAATCATAGTTGCTTGGTTACCATGTCTCTCGTCCCTGTGAGTTTTGTGGGCGGCTGCTATGCCTTATTGGTCTTTTTATCCACCCCCTCATCCTACTAGCCCATGCTACTCAAGATATGGTGCTCAGTAACTATTTGCTCAGTGAATGAATGATAAGGACAAATAGTTTGCCAATATAAGAAACATCCAAACCTGTAAGAAATTTTATGAATTTATTTGAGCCTAACTGATAACTGTTGGGAAGCAAAATCTCAATGGATTGAGAAAATGTGCCAGAGAATGGCACTTTTGCATCTTATTTTATACATTACAATCAAAGGAGGAGGTGTAAAGGGGTTACATAAAATCCATTAGTGATAGGTTAGGGAGGCAGGAGAAAGCAAAGCAGGGGCAGGGGGGATCTATGAGATTGTATGTAAAATTAATGCCTGATGGTGTTGCTCAGTGGTTGAGCATACCCAGATTCTGGCTGGGACACATGCCCAGGTTGTGTGCTCCATCCCCAGTAGGGGGCATCCAAGGGGCAGTCGATCAATGTTGATGTTTCTCTCTCATGGATGTTTCTATCTCTTCCTCTCCTTTCCTCTCTCTCTAAAAATCAATAAAAACATGTTTTGCCCTAACCAGTTTGGCTCAGGGGATAGAGTGTCAGCCTGTGGACTGAAGGGTCCCAGGTTCGATTCCGGCCAAGGGCATGTACCTTGGTTGCGGGCACATCCCCAGTAGGAGGTGTGCAGGAGGCAGCTGATCAATGTTTCTCTCTCATTGATGTTTCTACCTCTCTATCCCTCTCCCTTCCTCTCTGTAAAAAATCAATAAAATATATTTTTTAAAAAACACAGCACTTTTATTTTAAAAAAAAACATGTTTTAAAAAATGAATAGACACATATTTCTTTTCCTTTGGTGGGTATAGGATAGCTAACAGTTAACATCAATCATGATAATAACAATGAGGGAATTTGTGGTCTCTACTCTGGGAAAGTGGTTGTATTTTGAGGGGTTCAGAAAAAAGAAAATTACTTTGATATTCCCAAGGTATGTTATCATAGATGCAGAAAAAGACAGCACAATTAGGGTAAAGGTTGATCTTTGTCAAGGAAGGTCTAGGACATGACTACCCACCATGACTCGATTTTAGTTAGGAAGTTTTAATTTTAGGCTACTTTCTGTCTCTGAGTTTGTAAGGCCCACCATGTAGATCTCTCCTGAGCCTCTCAGGTTTAATATTGGCCCTTTTTCATCCACAGGTTTCTAGTTCACGGGTCCTAAAAAGTGTGATGTGAATAACTGAGTATGTAACTGGAAATTCGAGTCTAGAAAACATTCAAATTAGGATTTTCAGAGATGAATAAACCCAATCGCATCACTCAGGGAGCCCAGGTGGAAGACGAAGTCCTTCAAGAGACAAGACTTAAGAGGGAGTCATACTTATCCTGGCTGGCCCAGGGGGCGGGATCAGGTATAGCCACGCCCCCTCCCAGCCAATGGGAAGTCTCAGCCTCCACCCCTTCTCCCCGCTGGGACCAGGCGGGCCACTCCGGGGGATAAGACTACAATTCCCGGCGTGCCGCGCGTCCCGGCTAACAAGGAGCCGGAAGTGGGGCGCGGGAGGTCTAAGGGCACGAGGGAAGTGGCGGGTGGGGATTGAGGGGGGCGTGCAGGTGAGCTAACCGGTGGCAGGTCGCGGGCATGGCCGAGGCCAGGAAGCGGCGGGAGCTGCTTCCCCTGATCTACCAGCATCTGCTGCAGGCAGGCTTTGTGCGCGCGGCGCGGGAAGTGAAGGAGCAGAGCTGCCAGGTAAGCGAGTGCGGGCCGTGTGCGAGGGCCGCGTGTGAGATCTGCAGAGCCGCCCCCCACACCCCTTCCCCTGGCGGGCGCCCACGGCCAGGCCCCCCGGTGCTCGAGGACGCGACTAGGTACCAGGATCCGCCGCCTCCGGCCTCCCTGCCGTTCCCAGTCCCTCTGGGCCTCAGTTTCCCCATCGCGTGCAGTGGGCGGGCCCGGACGTGGGATCCACACTCAGGGCTCTGTGATTCCCGCGTCGCGTACTTCCACCCTCCCTTTCTGGTAGCGGCGTTTTCAAGTTTCCTACGTGCCGGGCCACGTGGCTCGGTCCGGCCCCTAGGGTGGAGAAGGTAGCAGCAAGTTTGAGGGGTGGATTGCCACCGACCCGAAAGAGAGGGCCCAGAAAAGGGGCCTGTGACCCCGTGTCTGAGCTGGAGCTCGGGCCCTTAAGACCCCCCATCCCCCCACCTCCACCCCACCCCGTCTGTACTGAGTCAGACAGCTGGGGTTTCAGCTTCTGGTGTAGTAGTCATGTCTTCATTCATTCAGTAGCTGTTAATCCGGCGCTCTGGCTGCTGGTGACAAAATGATGAGCAGGGCCCCCAGCCCTCCTAGAGCTTACAGTCTAATTGTGGTAGAGAAGCCCTGGCTGGTTTGGCTCAATGGATAGAGCGTCGGCCTGGGGACCGAAGGGTCCCAGTTTCGATTCTGGACAAGGGCACATGCCCAGGTTTCGGGCTCAATCCCCAGTGTGGGGCCTGCCGGAGGCAGCTGGTCAACGATTCTCTCTCATCATTGATGTTTCTGTCTCTCTCCTCTCCCTCTCCCTTCCTCTCTGAAACCAATAAAAATATATATATATTTTTTAAATGTGGTAGGAAAGTTAGATATAAATCATAAAAGTGTACTCTCAAAACACGACGTTAAGTGCCAAGAATGAGAGGCATCGAGCGCTAAGACAGGGGTGGCCGGTTGCCCTTGTCTGAGGTATGGAGGCCGGTTCACCGGAGGAAGTGGTATAGGTTTGAGATCTGACAGAAGGGAGGTGTATATTCCAGGCAGAGGTGCAAATGCCCTGTGGTGGGATGGGACTTGTTGCTGACTTTTGGCCTTGGGAGAGTCTACTGTGGCTGAAATGTGGAGTCCAGGGGGGATAGAGGTCCCTTGGGGGTGGGAGGAGGTGTGGTGGTGCTGGTTGGAGCCCTGGTGTAGGCTGTTTGGTCTTAATCTGAAAAGCCCCGGGAGGGTTTTAAGCTGTTAAAGTGATAAACCAATATCCTTTTAGCTCCAGTGGATGCTTGCTCTCAGGATCTCCTGGAGAGACTAAAGGATGATGGGCCCTAAGACATTATCCATGCTTTTTCCAACCCTCCCTAGACTTCAGTTGCTCTTCTTACTCCATTTATATCACTTACCAGCTAAGGAGGGAAAAGACAGTACCTGTCTTCATTGGGGCATTTGCCTAAGTAAAGGTAGGATCTTGCTCATGGAGGGTACATTCTAGCAGGAACAGACAGGTGACAAATATTTTTAAGGTTAATGATGTAATGTGCTAGCTATAAACATAAGACAGGAATGGGGGATAGGAATGCCCAGTTATAACTAGGGTGGTCAGGAGGCCCCACTGAGGAGGTGACATTTGGCCAGAGACCTGAAGGGAGGGAGGGAGGGAGGGAGCTGTGTAGTTAGCAGTAGAGAGCATTCCAGCCAAAAAGAATAGTAAGTCTTGATGGGTGCAGGGTGGCCTGACACATTTGAGGGGCAGTGAGGAGGACAGTGTGCCTAGGGAGGAGTAGCGTGAGACTGGCCCTTGATGTCTCAGTGTTACTGGCTCTCTGTGCTGGGCACTGACTAGATTTATCCCATTCAGGCCTGATAGCGAGGTGGGTACTGCTGTCATCCCCATGTCATGAGGGGGAACATGAAGTGTGAAGAGATGAGCCCAGCTATTCAGCAGGAGTTCTGCATGACTCCAGATGTACCTCTTGGTCACTCTGCCCAGGGCCCTGACGCCCTCTGCCTTCACCGCACGTTGCTCACTCAGCCTCCCGGGGCGCTTGGCATCCCAGGTTCTTGATACTTGCAGAGACAGTGGGCCCTCTGGCCTGGGCTCCAAAGGCCTGGATTTCACCTGGTTCCCTTGGCTTCTGTCAAGGGACTGGCACCATTTGGTTCCAGTACTTTCTCAGGGGATAAGTGGGCTGTAGTCATGCCACCTGGATGCCTCGGTGTCTGGGCTGTGGTTCCTCCTGCCCTGGGGAGCTTGACCAGCCTGGCCTTTAAAAGCCTTTTAAAAGGTCAGGGGTGGGGAAAGCCCTGTCTTGTGGCCTCTCCTCATGGAAAGTGCCAGGGAGGCTGGGGACTGATAAATGCTGGCCTGGAGCATTCCAGTCCAGTCTCTCAAAGGCACCTCTCACCAACATGTTGTCTTAAAAGGTTTTAACGGAAATACTTGCCCTGCTTTTCTCTACAAGGTTTGGGTGGTAATGGCAGGGCAAGCAGACATATTTCCCAGAGCAGAAAGACCCCCTTCTCAACCACCTGTCTGTGCGAGTCGTGAGATTGTGGAGAATTGGAGCCAAGGAGGACCCATACTGTGCTGGGGGGTTAATTGCTGCTCTCTCTTTACTTCTCTGCAGAAAAGTTTCCCAGTTCAGCCTGTAACCCTTCTGGACATCTATACGCACTGGCAACAGTAAGTCTGACGGTGTTGAAAGTGTGGAGGAGGGACACCCCAAGCTGTCGTCAGCTTGGAGTAAGCTAGGGTACTAATCTGGCCTAAGATCTGTCCCCAAAGCCCACTGTAGACACCATTATCGCCCCCAGGAAGGCAGGTCACACGCAGGAGTGTCTGGCAGTAGAAGAGGATATTGAGAGCTATAATCAGTATTGAATAATAATAAGGGCAGAAGCTTCTCAGTAATGTTATTCGTTCAATCAGCAAACATTTATTGAGCATTTATTAAATGCCAAGCCCTGTTCTAAGCATGGAGGTGTTATGAGATGAGACAGACATGCCTCCTTCTTTCCTGGGGTTGACATTCAAGTCAGGGAAGTAGGCATACATCAAAGAATGAAACGAATGAATGTGAAATTACAGTGCTTATAAGGATTATGAAGAAGAGGTACCCGGTGCCAAAACCGCATGAACCTCTTGTGGGGTTCTAGGGGAAGTTTCCCTGCAGTGACCTTTGATTTGAAAGCTGCAGGGAGTGGGGGAGTGACCTAGGCAATAGGTATGGAGAAGCAGGCGGAGTGTACCTAGCAGAAGGAACTGCTGATGCTGAGGCCTGAAGCCGTGAGCACAGTGCAGATAAGGTCGGGGAGTCGGCAGGGCTCACCCCATGCAGGGCCTGATCATCCACAGTGAGAAGTTGTCTCTTTATCCCAAGAGCAGTGGAGCCGTGGAGGGGGAAGCAGTGATGGGCTCGCTCTGTAGCTTGGACGTCATCATCCAGGCAAGAGCTGATGGGGAATAGTAGAAGGTAGGAAGTAGATTCCAGGAATACTCAAGGATGAACCCAGGATCTGTGGATGGGTTGGGGAGGCAATCCAGTCCAATCCCAGGTATCTGGCTTGTGCATGGAGTTGCAGGGGAGCCTGATTTGGAGGGGAAAATTTCAAGGACATGTTACAGAGTGTGAAGTGCCTGTGAAACATGTAAAACTTAAGTACTTTTCAAGGACTGAAAAATAATTGAAGGGTGCATAAACAGAGGAATGGTTTGAGAATGAAGGAGGGGACAGTTGTATTCTCTCCATGCCCTGGCCTGACCACAGCAGACCAGGTGAGTGAAGGACCTGGAGCCATGTCCCATAGAGAATACTGAATTGCCCAGGATGGAAAAGAGATGGCAAAAGGGCAGGTGAGGGGACCATTGTTTGCACATCTGTAAGGACAAAGGCAGTGGCATGTTCTCTGGGGCCCTGGGTGACTGAGGTGGCATCTGTATGTGCCTGCTTTAGGAAGAGGTTTCAGCTTCTGAACACAAGTGCTTGGTCATCAGAACTATCCAAAAATTAGATAGGCTACAGCGGGAGTGGTGAGCTCCCTGTTATCAGAGGTATGTAAGCAAAGGCAGGAATGGTACCGTTGGGGTCTCAGCTTCCAAGGTCTTTAAAAGCCCAGCCAGGCCTTAATTTTTTACTCTTCTCTGCTGCTACAGCAAGCACAGGGCACACCCCACACTTCCTCTCTCTCACCCTCTCCGACTTGCCCAGGTGTCTTGGGTATCAGTCATAGCACTTCCTTCCCCAGAGACCCGCTCCAGTGAGCTGCACCACAAGCCCTTTCCTGCCTCTGGCCCCTGTGGATAAGGGGTACTGAGTGAGACGGAGCCTCATACCCACCAGAGGAAGCCGAGCCTAGTGCTTCCTGGCAAATTCAAACCCAGCAACTAGCTGTATGACCATGGATTAACGGTTTCCCTGAGCATGTGCCGTCTCTGTAAAATGATAACAATAGTAAGTAAAGTGCTAAACCTGGCCATTGGAGGCATCTTCTCCCCCCACCCCCATGCCCCCAGTTTATATAGCACCTATTATGAGCCAGGACTGTTCTTGATATAACGGAACAAACTAGAGAACAACTCCTTCCCTTGTAAAACGTTCTGTTAGGAAGAGAGAGGCAGAATAATTGATACATGTTAAAAATGAAACCTGTTTTTAACAGGATAGTCTCAACAAGGAGACCTGAGCAGGGAACCAGGGACCTGAGCAGCACACCCCAAACTGTGGCAGAGCAATGTCTCATAGCTGGAGAGCGTGGGCATAGCCAGTGACTCCCTCGGGGTGGGAGGGTGGAGTCGAAGAGATGATACTTGAAAGTTCCAGGGACTCAGCCATCTGAGTGCTTATTCTGCCAATGCCCCAGCCGAAGACTTGCTCTTTGACTCTGGGCAAGTCACTTAGTCATTCATTTTTTGAGATGTGTGCTATGTGTGAAGGGTACCTTAGTGAGCTGGAAAAGGTCCCTCCCCCTCCCCGGACCTCCCTGTGTAGTGGGGGTGTCAGGCAGGAAGGAAGTAAAATAACAGGAGCGAGAAAGTGCTCTGAAGAAAATGAAACAGGATGATAGGCTGAGAATATCTTGGGGGAGGAGGGTGATCAGGGAGGGCCTCTCTGAGGAGGCTGGGTTGGAGCTGAGGCCTGAAGACAAGGAGGACCTGGGCAGAGTCTTCTAGGAAGAGGGCACTGCAGGTGCTGAAAGTTCTGGAGGAGGGAGGAGCCTGGATGGCCTGCAGATGCTAGCACCTGTCACTTGACACCGGTTAGCTACTGTTAGTATGTTATTGACCATTCCGGATTGTCTTGAAACCACTAGACAGTTATAAAAAACACTTTATGACGGGTGGGGGGGCGTCTGGCCCGCAGGTCGTATAGGGCCCGAGAAATCATTTGGTCTGGCCCTGCCAAGGCATTGGGGCTGAGTTAATGAAATGTTTGGCCAAATATAGCAGGCTCATTTTTGTCTTTTTTTTTTTTTTAAGTTGATAATTGTGTATGGCCCAAGAATGAAGTTATAAATATCCCAATGGCCCTTGGCAGAAAAATGGTTCCCCACCCCTGCTTTATGAAATGAGTGAAAATGCAGAATTTTACCTACACTATGTCTTCATCGCCATTTAAACTCTGCGTATCTCCTTTGGAGGTGGGGCAGGATGTGGGAAGGTCTTTCCGAATCTCCTGGAGTTGTCCCTGTCACCAGTTGGTGTAGCCAGTCACCCTTGTCCTGCAGAACCTCGGAGGTTGGCAAGAAGCAGAAGGCCGAGGAGGATGCAGCGCTGCAGGCCAAGAAGGCCCGGGTGTCAGACCCCATTAGCACCTCGGAGAGCTCAGAAGAGGAGGAGGCGGCGGCAGCTGAAACCGCCAAAGCTGGTAAGGGCCCTGCATGCTGGGCACTGCTGGGGGCTCCCATGATTGGTGCTTGTGGGGCTTAGCCCAGGGCCCGGCCCCTTTTAGGTACAAGTTGTTGGGTATTGGATTGTTTCAGAGAGACCGCCTCCAGCTTCTTCAGTGAGCTGTGGGAAGACCAGGACCTTTTAGGGGGAATTTCAGAAAGGCCTGCCTGTCTGTTTCAGTATTTATTTGAGCCCTTCCTCTGCACCAAACATTGTGTCCCCAGTGCCTTCTTGGTAGCATGTGGCAGGACTGTGAGCCAGTCCTTTTCCTCTGGGGTCCTCGGTCTCATCACCAGGGAGTTGGGACTCCATCGAGGATGCAGACATGTAGCTTTCATTTTGCCTCTCTCTGGCTCCTGGTGGACGTGGCTGATGTACCACAGAGCTCTTTCCCACAAATCTGGGCTCAGCCGCAGATCCGTATACAGCACCAGGCGCCACACCGATTCCTGCATGAGCAGAAGCCTGTTTGCTGTTCCTAGATGAGAAAAGGCTCACCTGGCTCATCCAGCGGGTGTTTGTGTTTTGCAGCCCCAAGACCAGCATCCACCAACTCCTCAGTTGTGAGGGCGGTTTTGCCATCAAGCATGAAAGGAAAAGCCACGGTGAGTGGGACCGTGTCCCAAGCTGTTACCCGTAAGAGCTGAAGTGCCCTGTGAGGGACAGTCTCCGTGAGAGAAGGGTAGGGTTGTGGGTAATTGTCCATCTTGGATTCGAATCTCAGCCCAACTTACCAGCTGTGGGGTCTTGCCGAGTCCCTTCACCATTCTGGGCCTCTGTTTCCTTTTCTGTAAAAATAATTATAAAATAATGATAATAACCACAATAAACTGTTAACCAACCACTTAGCAAGCAACAGCTGTGTCCCCAGAACAGTCACCTGTTCTCCACACCTCCGTGAGGGGAGGCACCATTTTTAGCCCCACTTTAAAGGTGAAGAAACAAACAAACTAAACTAAACTAAAATAAAATAAAATAAAATAAAATAAAATAAAGGTGAAGAAACAGAGGTAGGGAGATGGTTTGTCCGAACTCACAGGGCTAGGAAGTGGTAGAGCTGGGTTCACATGGGGTCCATGTTCTCAGTTCACCAGGCCATACCCAAGTGTGTCTGTCACCTGTTCTCTGTAGGCAGAGATCAAGAAAGGCAACAAGACAGTGAACTCCACACCACAACCTGCCCTCGGAACCACTGCCAAGCCTGGTGAGAAGCCCCCTGAGTGGGCGGGAGGCAGGCCTTTGTGCTGCTTCCAGCTCTGGGACATTCTGGAATTCAGAGGCATCTCCATGACAACGAGGCCCCACCTCAGATCATTTTCCCCTCCCTTGATGAGGGAGAATCAGCCACAGGGATGCATCAGGCTTTGCTGAGGGAGTTGAGTAGCCCGGGTGGTAGAGTATTTTCTGGTTTATTGATCTCAGGGGTATAAGCCCATCTCAGAGGCTTAGAGACTAAACTGAGAGGCCTGGGTTTGGGCGTTTGTCCTGCCTGCCTCCGTGTATGCAGGAGGGAGATTTTTCTAAGCTGGCACAAGTGTTAAGGCCTCAGAGGGGCTGGGAGGGAAGGCCCTCAGTGCCCTCCCTATGCATCCCGCAGGATTGGCATCAGCGGGCCAGGTCGACAGCTCCAGCGAGGAGACCTCCAGCTCGAGCGAGGAGACCGATGTGGAGGTAATTGCACCCCATCCTCAGGAGCTGCCCCTGCACACCTTGAACTCTCCCTCCCAGGAGCCTGACTTCACAGACAAGTGGGACCAGATCAGTTCAGCTAGTGCTTCAGGGTGACTGGGAGCTAGAAAGGTGGGTTCGGGGGGCCGGGGGGTCTAGCGGGCCCTGGCTGGGGAGGACCAGGTGCTGCTCATTGCACTCTGGGCCTGAGAAGGGTCTAGGGCTGTGGGGGGGAGACACCATTTGCCTATGTGACAAAAGGAGGCTTCCTGGGAGAGGTGGCACTGGAGCAGGGCCTTATGCACAGGGCCTCACCTAGGGGAAAGCTGTCATAGGAACTGGTGTCTGTGTGGGACCTGGAGGAGGAGGCCAGGTGAAATGGGCAGGGGGGGTGAAGGATTCAGGGATGGAGATGATAGGCCACGTCAGAGCATCGGTCAAGGCAGGGAGTGAGGAGAGAAGCAGGGGGGTCCCGAGAGCCCCACTAAGGCCTCTGCTTTATCCTGAAGGTGTCGCCAGGGAGTTTTCAGGAGGAAGGAAACAAATTGCCCTTTCTCTTTCACTAGGTAAAGACCTCGGGGAAACCCCCCCAGGTCAAAGCTGCTTCAGCCCCTGCCAAGGGGTCTCCTAGGAAAGCAGCGGTCCCAGCACCCCCTGGGAAGGCAGGACTTGCAGCTGCCCAGGCCAAGGCAGGGAAGCCAGAGGAGGACTCGGAGAGCAGCAGTGAGGAATCGGACAGTGAGGAGGAGGCGCCAGCTGCCAAGACCTCACTTCAGGTGAGGCCGGGGAAGGAGAGCCTGCAGCCTAGACCCCTCCCCAAAAGGCTTTCTGAAGACTGGGTCTCCCACTGCCAAAGAGCCCCAGCTATGCTCCGAGCCTGCCCCAGCCCTTCTCAGTATGATGTGTGCGGCTCATTGCCCTGTGTGGTTTCCCAGGTCTCCTCACATCCACCTCTGGGCTGCCTCCCCTAATTCTGCTTCTCTCACTCCAGGTGAAGGCCTCGGGAAAAACCCCACAGGTCAAAGCTGCCTCAGCTCCCACCAAGGAGTCCCCCAGGAAAGGGGCTGTCCCAGCACCCCCTGGGAAGGCAGGGCCTACAACTGCCAAGGCCAAGGCAGGTAGGCCAGAGGAGGACTCGGAGAGCAGCAGCGAGGAATCAGACAGTGAGGAGGAGGCGCCAACTGCCAAGACTGCGCTTCAGGTGAGGCCCAGAAAGTAGAGCCTGTGCCCGTGCCCATGCCCGTGCCCGTGCTGAAAGGCCTTCTGAAGACTTGTTCTCCCACTCTAGCCAGTTTGGCTCAGTGGATAGAGCGTTGGCCTGGGGACTGAAGGGTCCCGGGTTCGATTCCAGTCAAAGGCATGTACCTTGGTTGTAGGCTTAATCCCTGGCCATGGTCAGGGCTTGTGCAGGAGGCAACCAATCTATATGTCTCTCTCACGTCGATGTTTCTCTCTCTATCTCTCCCCCTCCCTTCCACTCTTTCTAAAAATCAATGGAAAATATCTCCAGGTGAGGACTAACAAAACAAAGACTTATTCTCCCATTCCCAGGCATGCTCCGAGCCTGCCCCACCCCTTCTGATAGTGTGATGTGTATGGCGTCGTTGCTCTGTCTGGTTTCCTGGGTCTCCTCACATCCACCTCTGGGCTGCCTCTCCTGATTCTGCTTCTCTCATTCCAGGTGAAGGCCTCGGGGAAAACCTCGCAGGTCAAAGCTGCCTCGGCCCCCACCAAGGAGCCCCCCAGGAAGGGGGCTGTCCCAGGACCCCCTGGGAAGGCAAGGCCTGCAGCTGCCCAGGTCAAGGCAGGGAGGCCAGAGGAGGACTCAGAGAGCAGCAGCGAGGAATCGGACAGTGAGGAGGAGGTGCCAGCAGTGGTACCTGTAACCTCAAACCTGGCTCAGGTGAGGCTGGAGGACACTACATGGCCTGTGCTCTGCCTGCAGAGCCACCCATGGGCTTGTCCTCCCCGTCCTGCACCTAGAGTACTGGTCCCCCATTTGCTCTCCTCACCTATCTTACCTCACACACATTCCCTCTGTGGGCCCCCTGCCCTAATCCTGTCCTTTGTCACTCTCAGGCAAAGCCCTTGGGGAAAAACTCCCAGGGCAGAGCCACCTCAGCCACGGGACCCCCTGGGAAAGGCAGCGTCCCAGCACCCCCTGGGAAGGCAGGGTCTGCAGCCACTTTGGCTCAGGCCCGGAAGCAGGAGGAGGACTCGGAGAGCAGCAGCGAGGAGTCAGACAGTGAGGAGGAGGCATCTGCAGCCACAGCTCCAGCCCAGGTGAGGCCACAGCATAGCCTGACCCTGGGCGGTCCCCACTGGTCAGCTCCACAGGGAGCTCTGGGGACTCCATGAGCTTCACCCCAGGGCAGATGGCGGCTCGGAATCCAGGGTCCTCCTCCAGCCTCTAACTTCTGTGTCCCTCAGGCAAAACCAGCTATGAAAACTCAGACCAAGGCCTCCCCAAGGAAGGGCATGCCCATTGCCCCTGCATCTGCCAAAGTCCCCCCAGTGCGAGTGGGCACAGCATCTTTGCCAGCCTGCACATCCTCCCCAGCTGTGGCCAGGGGCACCCAGAGGCCGGGGGAGGATTCTTCAAGCAACGAGGAATCAGAGAGCGAGGAGGAGGCAGCTCCTGCCACAGCAGGGACACAGGTGAGGCCAGTGTGCTTGGCTGACTCAGGGCCAGCCCCTGGTGGTCCTTTGGGTTCCTGTGACATAGCTCTCTTCCATGTCCTTCTAGGCTAAGTCTGTGGGGAAAAGCCTCCCAGTGAAAGCTGCCTCAGGGCAAGGGACCACCCTGGGACTCCCTGGGAAGGCAGGGCCCATGTTGGCCCAGGTCAAAGCTAAGACGCACGAAGACTCAGAGAGCAGTGAAGAAGAATCAGACAGTGAGGAGGCTTCCTCGGCTCCAGCACAGGTGAGGCCTAGGAGGAGCCAGCCCATCCCACCCACGTCAGTGTCTGGGACAGGGCGGAGGGTAGGCTCTGCTGTTTTCCTCAGGTGTGCAGAAGTCTCAGGAGCAACCTCAGCTCAGCCCCAAGCAAACATGGGGGGTTGGTGCCTGGGTTCAAGTCCCTAAAGAGTGATATAATCCATCAGGGCCTGTGTACTCTTCTGTAAATTGAAAATCAACCCTTACAGGGTTGAGAATTTAACAAGATCTCACCTGCCACACCCAACAAGGGGCCTGCACACAGCCAGCTCTCATTTTCCTGAGGGCGGCCAGGCTGCTGTGCAACAGAATGGAGTCATCTCCCAGCCTGGAAGAACTGGGAGAGGTGAAGATAGCTCACTCCCTACACTCACCCACCCACCGTTTATTATTTTTAATTGTTGCTTTTCTTTTAATAACCACTCAGAAGTTAGTCATTTCTTTTTCCCTCTACCAGAGCACACATTTCTAAGGATTTTTTTGGTTCCCCTCTCACTATTACCTTGTGGGACTTTTAAACTACACGTGCCCTCCCTGAGTCTTGGCCCAACAGGCTCCCATCCACTTTTTCCAAGCTGTGGACACATTCCAAAACAAGTTTAAATATGCTGATCCCTTAAATATTTGTCTACCCATCTGAGCTTCCCACCTGTATCATGAGATAGGTGTTCATCTGTGTTGATTTCTGCAGAAGGAAATTGGAGTTGAAAGGCATTGTTTGGTGATGTGCTCCAGCTCAGCCACCCAGTGAGGGCCAGAGCTGGGCCTCTGCCCCAGAGTGCCTGCCTCAAAAGCCTTTTGTCTTTCTCACTTTCTTCTGTCACATCCTCGCCAGAACTTTTCCAGCCACAGTAATGATTATGGATTTGGGGTCTTACTTTCTCTCAGGGTGAACAATAGAGATGCTAATCCCTCTCTAGGGGATAGCTGTACAGCCCCATGCCCTTGTCAGAGATGGTGCTGTCATTGCTTCAGGAAGCCTGTGAAGAGCTTCTGCTAAAACAGACGGGGTGGATAAGAGGAGTCGTATTCACCTTTTCCATGCCTTCGCCTGAAGGATGAGGATAGTAACTATGCCTCTGTTGTGGGATTATGAGGATTAAGTGACGTAATGCTTACAGTGCCTCACCCTCAAAATGCTGTGCATGCTAACTGGGTTTCACTCGCAGCTCTCATGGGGTCAGAAATGAGTCAGGTAGTCTCTGATCTGCTCAGAGACACCAACCCAGCTCAAATTAAACCATCCGTTTGGGAATCGAGGTCCAAAACAGACAAAGTAACAAAGACAGAGAATTGGTTCTAGAAAACTAAGTTTGCCAGAGACTCAGGAAGATGATTCAGGATTTAAATGCCCTTGTGTGCGAATGGCTGAATAAGCAGTAGGGTGTCTTCTGGCCTTTTGTTGTATGTTGACATTTTTACACTTGCTTATCAGTTCTAGTGGCTTTTGTAGATTCTATACACAGATCATATTTGCAAATAAGGACAGTTTTACTTTTTTCTTTCTGATCTAGATGTCTTTTTATTTCTTTTTCTTGCCTCATTGCACTGACTAGCACCTCCAGTACCATGTTGAATAGTAGTGGTGAGCTCAGCCGTCCTTATCTTATTTCTACTCTTAGGGGTAAAACGTTTAGTCTTTCACTATTAGGTACGATGTTAGCTGTAGGTTTTTCATAGATACTCTTTATCAAGTTGAGAAGGTATTCTTCTAGTCCTAATTTATTGAGAATTCTTATGAGTTGGAGTTGGATTTTTGTCAGATTTTTGTTTTGTTTTATTCATATATTGCATTAGTTAATTTTCAGGTATTAAATCAAACTTTCATTCTTGAATCCCACTTGGTTGTAGTGTATACTCCCTTTTATTTGTTGACTTCCTTTGCTAATCATTTGTTAAAGATTTTTGTATCTATATTCATGAGGAACATTGGTCTGTAGTTTTCTTTTGATGTGTTTGCCTGGCTTTAGCATCAGAGTGATACTGGCCTCATAAAATGAGTTGGGTCATATTCTCTCCTGCTTTCTGAGTTTGTTAGATTGGTACTATTTTTTTTCTAAATTTTTCTCTAAGGACTACATTAGCTTCATCCCGTGGATTTTGAAGTGATATAGTTTTTATTTTAATTCTTTGTGGTTTTAGAAGTAGGTTAATTTCCAAATATCTGGGATTATGCAGATTTCTTTCTGTTACTGATTTCCAATTAAATCCTGTTGTCCCTGGAGAACATGTTTTGTATGATTTCAGTCCTTTTAAATTTATTAACACCTGTAAGGTCAGGTTAGTCCTTTGTGCCTTTTGTTTTATCTACATAAGAGTCATTATTCCCCTATGGATGGCTTGAGTGCTGTACTGAGCACCTCGGCCTTAAGTCATACTTGGCTGTGCTTTAGGGGATTGACTCTTAATTTCATTTGTTCTCATGTGGATGTGGAATCTAGGGTATGGATCCAATGACACTGGCACTGATCCAATGACATCTCTGACAGGCAGGGGCCTTGAGGTGCTGCCAAATTGCTCCTTCTATTTCATATTAGCAGGGCTTGCTTTCATACACTATACCAAGCATGTCAAACTCAAGGGCTAACACTGGCCTAATAAATAAGGTTTAAGTTTATGTAGGCCGCAAAAAAGCAAAAGCTTCAATTTTCATAGAAACATAGGTTTATTTTGATAGAGACATGCTGAATACAAAGGGCTGAAATAAATGAGTAATCGTTAACATAAAATAATAGCACATTTTAATAAAAATTAATGTTTTTTCTTGAACATTAACTTACCAGATACTGAATAACTGCACAAGTTAATAAATATAACGCAAATAAACCTATTTTTCTTGTTCTCTGAAAGCGAAATAGTTCCTGTTGCGCACGCCAAACAAGCCAGTACAAGACTAATGACTTGACAATCGGCTGCTAAAATATTCACTGCTAGTATTAGTGGAGAGAAATAGTGCGCCTGCATGTAAGGCACGTAAGGAAAACGAATGCAACATGATTATGATAGTCATTAGTGAACATTGTAGTTCAATATTAATAATTATATATAACAGAATATTGTAAAAATTACGTTACAAAACTTTTATTAAAATGTATCTTACATACCGTTATATTGGCTGGGCCGCAAAAATATTTGATGTGGGTCACACGCGGCCGAGGGCCATGAGTTTGACATGCTTACACTACACTGTCGAGGATTTCGCTCTTTATTCCTCTCATCTCTGCTGGCGACCCTGATAGGCATTTGGGGGGTTCCCTAGGATCAGTTAACATTAGGTTAAGCTGAAGACAAACTCAAACTATGGTTTCCTGCCTTGTTCTGCCCTCCTCAGTAGCTGGCCCCCATCTCATAGACCAAATTGGCTGCTTAAGCTCCAGCTACGACCTCAGCCAGAAGGAAGAAGACACGTTTCCGACATGTGTAAGAGAGTCGAGCGTGTGCTCAACTTATCTTCCATTAGCTAGAACTTAGTCATATGGCCACCTCGCTGAAAGGGAGCCTCGGAAGCACCTCGCTCTGGGTAGTCTTGTGATTAGCTAACACTAGGAAGTGCTCTCAACCATGGGTTTCGGTGCTTACGACGTACCAGGAACTGTTACACACTGCAAACCTCTCAGTCCTCATGGCAACCCCATGCGTGGGCCTTAATATTACCCCTGTTTACAGAGGAGGACTCAGGCCCAGCAGGGTCAAATGGTTTACCCAGGCCCACACAGCTATTACGTGGAGGCGCCGGAATCGGTGTTCTTGAATGACTGCTCTGCTGCATCTCACCTCCCTTCCGTGGTTCCCTTTTTCCTTCCAGGTGAAGGCCTCAGTGAAAACCTCTCAGAGCAAAGCCCAACCCGCTCCCACCAGAGTGGCTTCAGCCAAAGGGGCAGCATCAGCTCCCGGGAAAGTGGTCACTGCAGCTGCTCAAGCCAAACAGGAGTCCCCGGCCAAGGCAAGTGGGACCAGCGCCCCAGGAGGTGCTGGGGGTGGAGCGGAGAGGAGGACCAAGCAGTGGCCCAGCCTGGACAAGGGCCCTGCATGGGCGGGATCAACGTCGCCACCATCACACTGGGTGGGGTTTAACCTAAAAAGAACTGCTGTTTACTTCTTTCCTCAATACCGTTACCTCCTTGCAATTCAGGCAAAGCTGCCAGCGAGAACCCCCCAGAGCAGTGCCATCTCGGTGAGGGGCCAGGTGTCTGTGCCAGCTGCGGGGAAGGCAGCGGCCCCAGCAGCCCAGGCCCCAGGGCCAGTCAAGGACGACTCGGAGAGCAGTGAGGAAGAGACGGACATCGAGGGGGAGGCACCCACGCCGGTGAGGCCCCGAGAGGGCAGAGAGCAGCCCTGTGCTTCCCCCACAGCACACCTCCGTATGCCCATCCATCGCCTGTGTCCCTCTGCATTCCCTGCCCTGATTCTCTTTCTGTCACTCCAGGCAAAGCTCTCAGGGAAGACCACCCAGGTCAGAACTGCCTCGGCCCCTACCAAGGGGTCCCCCAGGAAAGGGGCTGCCCCGCCACCCCCTGGGAATACAGGACCCACAGTCGCTCAGGCTAGGAAAAAGGAGGACTCGGAGAGCAGCAGCGAGGAGGAGTCGGACAGCGACGGGGAGGCACCGGCAGCTGTGACCGCAGCTCAGGTGAGACCTAATGAGGAGGCAACCACAATGCCAAGCCACCGTCACCTATTCCTGGGTCAGAATTCGGGCTCAGGGCCAGGTGGGGAAGGAAGATTATGTAGATTAAGGCTCTGTCTCCAGGGTGTCTTCCACATCTCCTTTGGTGAACCCTGCTGTAAAACTTCCCCAAACCCAGCCTCCCTGATGCCGGGCATCCTAAGCACTCCCATACCTACCAAGGCCTCCAGTTTGAGTGGACATACCAGCCCCATGGAAGGCGAGGCCAGAAACTCCCATTCTTTGCCAAGACACATGAGGCCAAGAATCCAAAGTTGTCAGAGTCATGGGAGGCTTGGGTGGTAGTGCAGGTGCCACCAGGCCCTGGGGAGCTGGAGGAAGTCACATCCCCTTGCTGGGCCTGGCCTCACCAGTACGTGCATCTTCCTGGGGAGAGCTCGTCCAGCTTAGTGTGAAGCCTGGGGTGTGGGGAGAGGGAATGAAGAACGGACTTACCTGGGTCACTTTCCCTCTGTCTGCCTTCAGAAGGCAGCAGGGTGGCTGTGTCCTGCCGAAGTTCATGGTAACAAATTCTAGGACTTACAGGGCTCAGGCGTGTAATGGAAATAATTGATATTGAGCCTTGGTATCAGGAGAGAGTGGTGGCAACCAGGGCAAAGTAGAGAGCCCTTGCCCCATCCGGGAGATAGTCCCTGTCAGCGCCAGCCAGTTGTGACCTTGTGGAAATGGGTCCTCCCTGTGGCAGGATCTTCCTTTTTGTAAGGAAAGCTGGAAGTCCCAGTGCCAGGCTTTTAGCTGGGGTGTTGCAGCCAAGTGTGAACTGTGCTGGGGCCACTGGCTCACCCCTATAACCTCATCCCGGCTGCTGTCACCTCTCATGCATGTGCCGGGCCAACATTACTTAGTCCTCAGGTTTTAGCAGTGTCTTATTCATGCATCCCTTTCACGTTCAGAGTCAGCTCTGGCAGGAGGGTAAGCAGAGTGGAGGCCGGTGTTTCCAGCGGCCCCGTGTCCGTTCACCTGTGCCATCTTTCCCCCTCCCCACCATGTGCAGATAGGGAGGGGCACACTGCCATCCCTGGTCGCTGCAGCTGGCCATGGTTTCCCAGTCCCTCAGTCCTGCTCCCCCTCGGCTAATGCCTGCTTCCCCCCACCTTGTGCTTGTCCCATCAGAAGAAGAGTAACTCCAAAGCTTCCAAAAGTAACACAGTGGCCCCAGCAACCCCAAAGAAGAATGCAGAGGGGTCCTCGGAGAGCAGTGACGAGGAGCTGCCGGCAAGCCAGGTAGGTTGCACCTTCTCTCTGAGGACACGGCAGGCTCAGCGCTGGGCTGGAGGGCCTGTGGGGTTGAGGGCAGATCTTTCCCATTTAAACAGCACTTCACAGTTTCCAGAGCTCTTGCCTCTATTTTGACACAATAATCCCATGAGTGAGGCCACAGTGTCTGAACATCCAGGCCTCAGAGCCAGATAGTCAAGGGTCAGAACCGGCACTCCCACCACCAGCCCAGTGATGCTGGGCGCGCTGGCTGTTCTGAGGCCTGGGAGGCTCAGCTATAAACAGGCAGGGTGGCGTCCTCCCTCCTGCGTCTGCCTGCTCGAGCAGGTCCACAGCATCCTGCCTGAGAGTAGGCGCCTGTTCCTACAGGAGGGCGAGTGGTATTGCCCATTTGAAGTTAGGAATCAAGGCCCTACGAGTTGATTTCCTGAAATCCTCATGGCCCATAAGAAGCTAAGGAAAGGCCCGTGCGGTGTGGCTCAGTGGTTGAGTGTCGACCTTTGAACCAGGAGGTTACGGTTTGATTCCCTGTTAGGGCACCTGCCCGGGTTGTGAGCTTGATCCCCAGAAGGCAGCCAATCAGTGATTCTCATCCTTGATGTTTCTGTCTCTCCACCTCTCCCTTACTCTCTGAAATCAATTAAAAAAGAAAAGCTGAGGAAGGGCAAACACCAGTCCTCGGCTCTCCGAGTACCCCTGCCTCCTGTTGGGACTGGAAGTCTCTGTGGGGCTCCTTGGAATCCCAGGGCCTGGCCTGAGAGCCGCTCAGGCACCTGAGGCTCATCTTCACGTGCTCTGCTGCTGCGGTCATCCTCCCCAGACTGTGCCCCGAGGGCGGACCAAGCCCACCTGTCTCCCCAACTCAGGCCCAAGCCTGCTGGGCTGGTGGCCAGGCTTCTGTGTGGAGCCCAGGCCTCTGGCAGATACACCGCCCTTCGTCCTCCTCCAGCCCCAAGCTCCTGGAAGCTCCTGCCAGGCCCCTCAGTGCTAGATTTCTGCATCACCCAGACCAGTGGTGGGCAAACTGCGGCTCGCGAGCCACGTGCAGCTCTTTGGCCCCTTGAGTGTGGCTCTTCCACAAAATACCGACTTCTGCGCATGGGCCACGAAGTTTCAGTCGCCCTGTACATGCGCGCCCACACATGGTATTTTGTGGAAGAGCCACACTCAAGGGGCCAAAGAGCCGCATGTGGCTCGCGAGCCGCAGTTTTCCGACCACTGGCCCAGACCATAGGGTCTCTGCCCTTCTCCCCTTACATGTCAGACCACATGCTAATCAGTAAGGTCAGGTGCTGCTTTCACCCCAGTGATGGGCCCACTCAATAACTAATTACAGAATATAACTCTGAATTACAACTAGCATTGTCGGGTCACCTGTGCAGCAGGCTCTGTCCTAAGCCACAGACTCGCATATTCTGTTGAATCCCCACAACCAGCCTGTGAGGAGGATAGTTCCTTCCATTATTCCCATTTTAAGGAGGAAAGAATGAGGCTCAGAGAAAGCAATTGAACTGCCCCAGGGTGACATGGCTGAAAACAAGTGGACAGACCTGGTGTTGGAACCAGGCCCACTCCACTCTGGCCCGCTCCTGGTCCTGCCTCAACACTGCCCTCCAGGGAAGGAGCAGAGGGGCTGGGGCTGCCCTCTGCTCTGCGGAGCCTCTAGGAGGCTGCCTCCTCCCCAAGAATCTAAACAGCTGGGAGGGAGGGAAGGGGCCGCTTCGCCCTTCTGCGGGGGCAGACTAACACAATTAAAATGAACATCGTGCTTAAACTGAAACATTTAATTGGTACGTTGGTCCTGAAGATTCTGGAGTCCCTATGAAAAAAGGAGAATAGTCAGCAGTCTGTGCAGTCCCCAGGAGGATTCGGGGGGAAAGGCACAGCCTGGGGACATGGCTGCCTCCTCCAAACTAGGGGATTTTTGCTCCTAATCCCCAGCTCACTAATTATGATTATTATCGTTATTATGCTGTTACCAAGTACTTCTCTATGGACAAGTTTTGCTCTGTTTTTATTATTAGCCCATCAATAGAGGAAAGGGATTGATGCCAGAGTGGTGGGCAGAGCCCCAGGCTGGGAGGTGGAGAGAGGATTGTGGCTCCATTCCCCCTCACTGTGCCTCAGTGTCCCCCCTCTAGCTTAGAGAGAGACTCCAGCGGGTGGTCTGTGGCTTAGCCCGTTGTGCTGGCAGTAACCCAGCCACAGTCTGTGTCGGGGCTTGGCCTAGCTGCCCAAATAAAAGACATAGGCCCTGCCCTCAAAGTTTCAGATTGAGCAGAGAGAAAAAAAAGACCCGAAAGAAACGAAATTAGGGTGTTAAAGCACAGGCTTAGCTGGTTGGTCTGGGAAGGAGCTCATGCCTGGCCCCCAAAGGACTGCCAGTCCCGGTTCTTGCCCCGGTTTGCAGGTCATCCTGTGTGCGCCCCTTCCCTCTCTGAGCCTCAGTCTTCTTGACCCCTGGGAGGGAGCTCATGAACGTGGAGGCTCCGCGCCACATTCCCAGCAAGTGGGATGTCTCGGTCCCTGGGATGGGGCTGCCCAGGGTCGGTTAACCACCCCAGACCGTTCTGAGAGGCTCCGGAGAAGAGCTGCACTCGAGCCCTGCCACCATGGGTGCCGGCATGTGCTACTCGGCTCCCCCCACCCCGCTCTGCCCAGTCTAGGATGAGGGCATGGTTGTGATGGGCCCGGGCCCGGCTCCGACACGAGGTGGTGAGCACTGCCCGCAGGTTTGGTTCTGCAGACGGTAGACCCTGCAGTGGGACAGGAGTCTGTGTTCCCACCGGGTCCTTACCTCCCGGTGTCTATGTGGAGGCACAGCCAAATGTTCAGGCTGCTTCATCTTCCCATGAGCCTCTTCCAACCACCCTCATCCCCCCGTGTGCACGGTGCTTTGCAGTTTCCAAAGCGCATCAGAGCCCCTCTGGTGAGTGGACGCAGGCTGACTTTCCTAACAGCCCTTCCAACAGGTGGGAAACTGAGGCACAAAGCTCGGGGCTTGGCCACACAGTGAGGTCATGGCAGAGGTAGGGTCACCGCCTGAAGCTGGGGCGGGGGGGAGGGGGGGCGCAGGTGGCGTGGGCAAGTGGAACAAGGAGGAGGTGGCGTTTGCTGCTGAGCTGCTTTTAACATCCCAGACGCTATTGTTTGCCTTGGTGGGTTCGTTGCCTCTCTGCGTCCTCAACAATCTGTTCCTCTGTCTTCTCACATATATATAGATTCCCTCCCTCAACTGTAAGCCTTCTCCCACTTCCCGTCCTCTCCCTTCCATCACGTGGGCAGGCAGGCTCTGGAAGCGGCAGATCAGAGCAGAGCAGCCGCGGGGGAGGCTGTTGGCAGGGGTAGGAAGGGCCTGAGCCCAGCAGAGCTCCCCCCTCGGGCGGTGCCTTTCTGCTTTCTTTTCACTTTTCCTCTCCCACAGCACCCTGGGGCTGAGGCGTGGAGTCAGGCTCGGGGAGGTGGGCAGGGTGGTTCCTGGAGGAAACCTGGGTCCCCAACTGTGACCTCAGAAGGTCCCTCCTGGTCTCCCCACTGGCCAGAGAGAAAGCAGAACTCGGGCCAGACCTGATCTCTGGGGAATGGGAAGCAGGCTCCCCACTCCCCGGCTCGGGGCTGCCGGTGCAGCGCCTGCGGTGGTCACAGTCGCCAGCGCTGCGTCCCAGGCTAGTCCACAGGGGACCAGGGCACAGCTGCTGCTGGTTTTTCTTTAATGTCTTAACTGGAAAACAGAAAGCGCACCCACAGATAGACGAACTGAAGAACCCGCACATACCCTCCCAGCCCGTTTCATCCAAACCCTCCACGTAGTTGGTCCTTTAAGGCACAACCACCATGTAATGTCGCACCTGGAAAGGGACCTGCCCGTCGCGCCCCGTTTCCCACATGTCTCATGACCGATATTTTTCATGTTGTGGGTCCAGATGAGGGCACTCCCTCATGTGGTCTTCTCCGTGTCACGTGGTGTTCTTCCCCCGTGCAGTGTATTTGTTGAAACTGCTGGGCGATGGAGCTGGGTTGCTGCGTCCTGGTCCCATCTCAGCGGCTGCATCCACATGTGGGTGGGACCAGCAGACGGAGCCACTCCCCAGGTGGATGTATATTGTGTCCGTTCAGCAGGCAACTCTCTTCCCCTCTCAGGACTTGCGGAGCTAATCTTACTGACCTCAGGGGTTCGTTGTGAGGGTTGGAGGGGCTCCTGTGAGCTGTGAGGTGCTGTGCTGGGTCTTAGCAGGTGCGCGGGCTCGGGGAGCTGCGAGTGCCCAGGGGAACAGCCCCTGTCTGGCTGCCCTGAGCTCTCAGGACCCCCTTGCCTTGTCAAACCCTTCCCCGCCCCATCTTTCCCTCCCCCTGGCCCAGCCTTTAATCACTGGGGGGATGTTCTTGTTTTTGTTTTTTAAGGTGATTAAAACCCCTCTGATTTTTGTCGACCCTAATCGTAGTCCAGCTGGTCAGCCTGCTACCCCTGTGCCCACCCAGGCTGCAAGTGCAAGTGCCCCAAGGAAGGCCAGGAGCTCCTCGTCCGAGAGCGAGGATGAGGATGTGATCCCCGCTACGCAGTGCTTGACTCCCGGTGAGCATGGCCCGCCACCAAGGGCCGAATCCCGTGCTGCAACGGCCGGGCTGGGCTCAGCTGCCAGCGGCTGCCCGAACATGCCCAGAGGGGAGCGGATGCTGGCAGGGCCACAGAGCACGTTGTTGGTCAGGAGGGCCTCAGGGCAAGCAATGTGTGTGAGCACTGCCTTGGCTCACCTCGATGAGGGACTGCTCAGGAGAAAGATTTGCCAGGGCTTCACTGTACCGGCTCCAAGGCTAGAACCCAGGCCAGAGGCTACGGGCAGCAGGGACCAGGTTTCTCCATAGTCTAAGGAAGAGTTTTGTCACAGCTGACTGCCTGAACATGAAAAGGGCTACGAGAGGTAGTGAGCCTCCCGTTCCTGGTGGCATGTAAAGGGGGTTAGGTGATCCCTAAACAGACATTGCAGGGAAGATTCCATCTGTCAGTGGGAGACAGGACCACATCTGGGATTTCTTTGATGTTTGCAACCTGTGCTCTACCAGTGATAGCAGGAAAATGGTTAATAAATGTTTTTATGATGCTTTTTAATGAGGATATTAATGCCTAATTTTGGGAGGCTAATTAAGAAATGCAGGCTAGCACCAAAGGAAAAACTTACCTATACATAATCCCACTGCCTGGAATAATTACTGTTAACATTTTACAGCTGTTAAATTGGCGAAAACCTAAGCTATACCTGTGTGTTTTAGTGAGACCATGCTGTACGTATGCTCGGTAATCTTTAATTGACAATATTGTGGCATTACACATTTACAGCGTGATCCCCTCTGGCTACAAAGCAGTCCTTTGGGTGGCATGCCACAGTTTATTTAGCCAGTGCCACATTGGAGGAAGCCAGGGCTTTTGTTGGGGCCGTTGAGGCGTTTATACGTAGTGCTACAGCAAGCATCGTGTACCGGAGCCTTTGCAGGTGACCACGGTGGTTTTCATGAGACTGTGTTAAATACACGGAGAGTCTCGTTTGGCAGCCGGCCGGCTGGGGAGACATCACGAGAACTAGAGTGTGGGGAGGGGCTGGGGAGAGCCGGGGTCACTGTCCCAGCAGCCACGTGACCTCCAGAGCTTTGGAGCACGGACAGCGTGACAGTTCCTGCCTAGAGGCCTTGGGGAAGGCATGGCACAGGCCCCTGCTGCATACACCCTGGGCACCACACCTGGTCCCCGGGAAGGGCTGATGAACTGGGTGTTGCCACAGCCACAGCTGGGGAGGCCATGGGGCTTCTGTGACCTAACGTGCACTCCATTCCCCTCCATTCCAGCCATTAGAACCAATGCAGTGATCATGCCCACGGCCCACCCAAGGGCAGCCCTTGGGGCCAACAGCAGTGAGGTGTCCAGTCGGGTGACAAAAGGCAAGAAGCAGGAGGCACCTGCCACTCAGGTATGTGGCAGACAAGGGAGGCCTTGCAGACCAGCAGGGTGGGGGGCTCCCTGCCCTCCCCCCACATGCCCACACATGCTGCTAGCAGGGCTGCAGGTGCTCTCACCCACCCCCACCGCCAGGAGTAGCTGCTCTTCGTAGCCAGCAGGTTCCTGGCCTCTGGCTACACCCATCGGAGCTCCCGGGCACCTGGGGGTGGTCAGGAGGAGTAATCTTGGAAAGTGGCACCGGGCAGAGCACTGCTGCCCCGAGAGGCCCTGTCAGCTCGTTCTGTTTTTTCCTCCCAGTTTTGAGATGCTGTGAACAAAAGCCGCCTCCTTCAGTGGGCGTGCTGGTGACTTAAACTTCCCAGCCTCCACCGTTTCAGTGTGTTTTTGTTTGATCTTTGCCTGGATCTAAGTCCTGGCAGGTGGAGCTCATGCTCACTGTTCTGGTGATGGGGCAGGGCCAGAGCCCAGGTCTCCTGGCTCCCAGGCATTGCTCTGTGGGCCATACCCGTTGGTTTTTCCGTTTCCTCACTCTTCCTTTCTGAGAGGACAGGAGAGAGGTGGGGGAGGCCGGAGCAGGAGTTGGGACCCCCAGCTCAGAGGGCTCATCACAGCTGGACGGGTGTCTGGGCTGTGGTCACTGCATCCATTTGGCCATTTGACCAGCAGATGGTGCTGAGTATCTGTCTTCCAGGCAGGAGGGATACAGCAGGAACAAGAGGTGCCTGCCCTGGGGAGTTCCCAAGTGAGTGGGGTGGCAGCCACTAACAAAGGAAACCAAAAATAGAGCACTCACGAACTGGTGGGTGCTTCGCAGGAAACAATAGTGACGAGAATAATGGGGTGAGCTGCTTTAGAAAGGATGGGCAGGGATGGCCTCCCCGAGGAGGTGATGTGGACGCAGGAGGAGCAGCCAGGCCAGCGAGCTGGGGTCCTCTCCAGGCAGGGAAACCCAGCTGCAGGGACCCTCTGGGGAAGTGCACGGAGGTCAGAGCTGAGGAAGTCGTGTGAGGTGAGGGCTGCACAGCCGCGGAGGAGTCACCCCCAGTTCTCTTAGTTCTCTCTCCCTATTGCTGGTGGGTGTGGAAAGCAGGAGTGGCCTGAGGGAGATTGTTGGGGAGGCAGTTCCAGCCACCAGACTAGAGACTTGTCCCAGTGGAGCTCAGATTGGCTGGTGGGGGCTGGGAGTGTTCTTGGACCCTCTGAGAATGATGTGATTGGCTCATAACCCAAAGCCTGGCACCATTTCCTGCTCAGGCAGTGGCATGGCCCCTTGGACCACCCCTCAGTCCCTACTCCAGTCCCATGGCTCCTTGCAGATACAGGTCTCCTCCCACCCTAGCAAGATGGGGTCTGCTCAGGGCGTGGCAGAGATGATACCTGAGAACCCAGGGGTCTCAGGGCTGCCTTTGGCTGTCCACAGGTGACAAAGAGGAACCTGGCTAACCTCCCGCTGACCCAGGCCGCCCTGAAGGTCCTTGCCCAGAAAGCCAGTGAGCCCCAGCCTCCTGCTGCCAGAACCCTGTCTTCAAGTGGGGTGAGCTGGGGAACCCCCAGGGGTCCAGGCCCTACCCTGGAGCGGACAGTAATCAAAGACCACAGAGGGTAGAAGGGAGGCCCAGGCAGAGACTCAAGTCCCAGCATCATCACCCATCGGCCCTGTCACCTGAGCACATGCTCGCTTGCCTACCAGGCCAGGGCCGCCTGGCTGAGAGCTGGGGGAGGATGGAATGAGGCCTGTGCGAAGCAACCAGCATGGTGCCTGTCTCTTAGCTGAGGTGCTCAGTAAGATCAGATCTCATTTCCCCTAACTTTCCTCCCACTTTCTCCTTTCATCAAATTAGATTGACGGTGCCCTAGGCTCACTCCCTGTGGCGAGTCCCCAGAGCACCCCCGTGAAAGCAGGAGTGACCAACAAGCCCAGAAAGCCCAAGGTTCCTGCAGTCCAGCGGGCCACAGCCCCTCCCTTGGGACGCCCCAAAGCCAAGGCCTCTGGGACCTCAGGTGATAGCGACAGCAGCAGCAGCTCTTCAGGGAGCGAGGAGGATGCGAAGAGGCCCCAGGCGGCCCCGCTGGCCCACAGGCTGGGTGAGGATCGGGGAGGGAAAGGCTGGGTGGGCCTGGAGCAGGGGAGAGGTAGCTGGGTGGAGCCCGAGGCTCAGGCCATGGCTCTGTATCTCTACTGGTTCTGCCACCTTGGCATATCGTCCCAGGCTGGGTTGTTTCCCCTTCCCCAGCCCCTTGAGGAAGTTGGTCCAAACTCTGTCAAAGGCCCCTGATGCTGCTGTTTGATCACTCCCGACTTTTTGGAATCAGGCTCCCATAACTGACCCCACCATAATCCCAAGGCCAGCTGAGCAGCAGAGCAGCGTGCCGGCCTCACCGACTAGAATGGAAACGCTTGGCGTTCAGGTGTCTCGCCTGGAATGCCATGACCACAGATGGGAGGGTGAGGCGGGGACCCAGCCATCCCAGGCGCCTCCCTGAAAGGCTCTGCCCTGCCCAGCTGGCAGGGGGCGTACCTGAGGCTCCCAACAGGATACCTATACTTCTCCATAGGCCCAGTGCCCTCTGGGAATGAGACCTTGGTGGAGGAAACCCCAGCAGAGTCCAGCGAGGATGAGGTGGTAGAGCCTTCCCAGGTAACAGCAGGGGGGCTGGCAACATCGGGGTCCTAGGCCAGGAGCCCCAGGTCAGAGGGCTGGGCCCTCCTCTTCACAAGGACCCTGGGCAGGGCCCTGCTGTGGAGCCAGGATGTTTCCCCCAAAGCCCATATCAGCATGAAGGCTGAGGAGCTGACTCGGAGTCTATAGAAAGGGCTCACCTTGATGTTAGGTGATTCCCAGATAAAAACGTTCTTTAGCAGATGGGATTATTTTAAGGTTATCATCTGCACGTGGCAGGCGCTAGTGATTTTCCATTTGCATTAGTAATAAGAATTTTCCTTTTTAAATGTGCCTGCTTAAGATATATATTAATTAAAATAGCACAGGAAGTATGCACAAAGGGCTGACGTCCCCACCACCAGCCCAGTAGGGCTGACCCAATCTTGGGGGTCCCTGGACTGGTTCCTTCCCAGCATGCCCTGCTCCTGGGGCTGAGATGGGGTCCCTGGGCTGGTTCCTTCCCAGCAGGCCCTCCTCCGGGGCTGAGATGGGGTCCCTGGGCTGGTTCCTTCCCAGCAGGCCATGCTCCCCGGGCTGGGATGGGGTCCCAGCCCCTTTCACACTGGGCTTCTTCAGTCTCTCCTCTCAGGTCATGTGCCCCTTGGGCTGACTCCAGCCAATTCCCAGGCTGCAAAGGCCACTCCCAAACCAGACCCCAACCCCTTGGTTTCCGCTGCTTTGGCCACCAAAGATGCCCTGGACGGCAAGCGGAAAGTGGAGCCCCAACAAGCACCAGGCACCACATCCCCTAAAACAGGTGAGTCCAGGGCAGCAGGAGGGACACAGCAGGACAGGGAGGGGCAGGCAATGGCCTCCTTTCCCTCCCTCAGAAACAGTCTCACCAGCATGGTCCTGTCTCTCCAGGCCTGGTGCTCATCGAAGTGTAGGGCCATGCCCAGGTGCCTGGCTCCTCTGGTCATCACCCCTGTGGCTGCTGGTGCACCTGGCAGGCCACCTGTCTAAGAGGAAGTGCACCTTGGCTGGTGGAGTATAGGACTGGGCTCTCTGTGGCCGACCCTGTTGACTTTTCTTCCTAACAAATGGCTCATGGTGTGGGGTCTAGGGCGTCTGGGAGCCCAAAGGAAAGGCAGAGCCGCACTTGGGAAATCTCTGGCACGTGGCGAAGACGCCGGGCAGCGGGCTGACTCTAAAGCCTCAGATGGGCCCCTGGCCCTGCTGGGCCTCTGTCCTAACCAACCACACGGGTCAGGGTCGATGCATCCAGTCGGTGTCAAGGTGTGGCACACATAGAAAGTAGTCATGTGCCACCCCCGACTCTGCCAGAGCCGAGGGACAGGGATCTCAGGTGGGCGCACCTGGGACAGCGCACAGGGTCCCCAGCCTCGATGTTCTGGGTGTTTGTAAACAGAGAGCCGGGAAGTAGGCTGTGGGGGAGGAGGTCTCCACGGCCCACTGAGCCCTCCTCAGTTTCCCCTCTACCCGACTCGTGCCCTTGCTAAGCACCAGAGGACTGAACTGGGCCTCTGTCTGTCCTGGGACGCTTGGCTGGTGCAATGCTCTGGACCAAGAGCTGCTTCAGGCCCCACTGCACGCCACAGGGAGCAGCCCAGCCACTGAACACCTCTGAGGCCCGGAACCGGAACCGAGTCCAGACCTGCCAGTCACCTGGGAAGTAGGGGGGAGGGGTAGTGCGGGGGCAGTGCTGGTGTCCCACAGACTGGTGCCGGGGAGCAGAGCAGCGTTGCTCACTTTCTTCCTCGGCGATCTCTCTGGGGACGGCCGGCATTTTAGAGGGGCTGTGGAGGTTTCCATTTTCACACGTCAGCACAGTTATCAAAGGAGAGCAGAGGCGTGGGAAATTCTAAACAAAGGCTGCTCCAGAAGTCACTGGCAGCCGGTCAACCTGCTGATCAACACCACGTGTGCACACCACAGGGTCCTGGACAGGCAAGGGGTGGGCCCACTGTGTGAATAGAGGGGTGTGAGCTGAACGGGTGCACAGCCGTCGAATTTATGTGGATCTACAGTTCAGAATATGGGGACCTTGCTGTTCACCCAACCCCTCATTTTACAAGCACAGAAACAGACTGGGAGGAGCAGGGCCACACAGCTAGTCAGTGGGAGGCAGACCCAGAGCCCAGTCTCCTGCCTCCGGGCTCTGGACTCCTGTCTGACCTTCATTGTGTTGATAGATTCCAGGCCTTTCACTAACACTCTGGATTCCTGGTCAGTTCCCAGCCTGAACTTGAGATTTCAGTGTGAGGAGACAGAAAAGAGCTCTAAGGTGGAAGGTGGGAGGAAGATGTGGCCAGAATGACCTCGGACCCCCCTGGCTCTTGTACCGTGAGAGGACTGTTTCCCGGTCCCGCAGGTCCATGTCACACATCCTCTCCCCACAGGCAAAAGAGAGGCCAGGACCACACCTCAGAAGCCCGGGAAGGGGGCCGGGAGCCCCGAAGCCTCGACGCTGGCCCTGCACAGCGACATCGCCCGGCGGCTCCTGAGTGAGCCCTGGCCCCTGAGCGAGGCCCAGGTCCAGGCCTCGGTGGTGAAGGTCCTGGCGGAGCTGCTGGAGCAGGAGAGGAAGAAGGCCGCGGGCGCCGCCAAGGAGGGCAGCAAGAAGAGCCACAAGCGGAAGCTGTCGGGAGAGCAGGCAGCAGCCAGGGCCCCCAAGAGCAAGAAGAAGAAGAAGCTGGCGGCCGGGGGAGGCGGGGAGGGTGCTGCTTCCTCCGAAAAGGCCCCCAGTACTACCCAAGGGAAATCTAAGAGAGACACAGCAAGTGGTGGCAGCAAGGAGAAGGACAAGCCAGAAGGGGAGCCAGAGATGGTGATGGTTGAGGGTGGAGGCCAAGCCAACCCAAAGAACAAGGAGAGAAAAAAATCTGACAAGAGTAAGTGTCTGTCCACAGCCTGGATCGCGCTTGCCCAGCCCTGTGCTGAGGGCTGTCGGTCACCACACGGGCAGGACGGGCCCTCAGCCAGCACAGAAGGGGGAGGATGAAGATTGTCCAGGGTCATGGGGGGCAGCTATTGACAAAGCCAGAGTGACCCCGGAGCGCCTGGGCCCACTGCAGGGAGACCCAGCGCTCCAGGGCGGGGCCTGCTCCACACAGTGCTCCTTCAGCTTCAGGCTCCTCAGGTCCGCACTCCTAGACCACAGCTCCCTGTGAGCGCTGTGCCAGACTGCATGTGGTGGGACCTCATTTAACCCTGTGTAATAGGTGATACTGCATTCCCATTTTCCATAGAGAGTATCTATACTAATAAAAGAGTCATATGCTAATTAGACCAGATAGATCGGACGTCCTTCTGGACACAGCCATGGTGGCGGGGGCCAAGGCAAAGGCAGTTAGGGGCAATCAGGCAGGCAGGTGAGCAGTTAGGAGCCAGCAATCCTGGATTGCAAGGGGGATGTCCCAGATTGGGGAGGGTGCAGGCTGGGCTGAGGGACGCCCCCATGCACGAATTTCGTGCACTGGGCCTCTATAATAATAAAAGTGCAATATGCTAATTAGACCAGATGTCCTTCCGGATGAGGGAAGCGGGTGCCGGCAGCCAGGTGAAGGAAGGCCTACTCTTGCACGAATTTCATGCATCAAGCCTTTAGTCTTAAATAAATGTGTAAAGTGAGTTAAAGGAAAGTAGTAATACTCCAGGTGTTCCATAGGTGAGGCAGAAATTATGAGGCCAGGGCAGGTGGTCATAGGCCTGAGGGCCTGTTTTCATGGTTCCCCAGGGTGAGGGGAGAGCTGGAGACCCAGCTGCGGGAGGAGGGGCTCCTAGGATTCCTGGAGACCTGCCCTGCGTGTCTCCCGACATTGGTCCCAACACTTAAATTAACATCTGTTATTTAGGAAGTTTACTTTCTTCCCTTAGAAAAAAAAGACAAAGAAAAAAAGGAAAAGAAGAAGAAAGCCAAAAAGGCCTCAACCAAAGACCCTGACTCACAAATACAGAAGAAAAAGAAGAAAAAGGTAGAGTGAGTTCCTGGGGGTTTCAGGCCAGAAAAGGGACCTAACCTCGTCCCCAGGGGCAATGTGATGAGCCCCATCCTGTGCATGGCAGGTGACAGGGTGGGAGCTAGACCAGGGTCCTGCCCATCTCCATGGGCGGGAAGTGTGCAGGGGTGAGTTGTGACTCTAGAGTAGAGCCCCTCCAGGAGGGACAGGTCTGTGTGGAAGTCATGGAAGTGACCCTCTGCCCTGTCTGAGGTAGAAGGATGTCCTGTGGCTGGTGAAGGGAGGAAGCCCCAGGGCACAGGGAGGCTGTCACAGGTCCCAGGTAGGAGAGGAAGCGTGCCCCAGCTGGCAGGGTCCCCTCCACAGAAACACTCACACGTCTGCTTCATGGGTGATCAAGGCTGCTCACCTGAAGGCTGGGGGTGTGGGGACTCAGCACCTGTACAGATGTTCTCACTGGCCCTCCCTCAGGCCTTGGCTGTGTTCAGGGAAGCTGAACATCTGTGCCAAGTTCTGGGCTCCTTCCTTGAGAGTGGGGCACTGTCCCTGTTCTCAGGAATCCCTGTGCACCCGGCATCAGTTCTGGGGGGTAGGTGGGGAGGCCTCAGATCCTCAGGAGGCAGCCCTCATGCCCTCCTGGTGGGGGCAGCATGGGTGAGGAGGCCGTCAGGTACAGGAGTCTCTCACCTTCTCTTCTCACAGAAGAAGACAGAGCAGCAGCCTGTCTGAGGAGCACAAGACAGCAGGTACACTTCCTGGCCCAGGGACCCTTGCTGAGCATCTGACCCCTGGAGAGGGCGGGGGGATGGGGGCTGGAGTGAGGGGAGCTCCAGCATTGCCGTGGTCCCCAGGAGCCAGGCAGGACCTGGGAGGTGGGCCCCACAGGGAAGGGTGGAGAAAGAGATTCTGTCACTCACGGTCAGTGGCCGGCACCTGGTGCTCCCTGGGTGCAGACACTGCACATGCCCTAGGAGATGGGCACTGGGATGGCGCCTCTTTGTGGATGATGGTAAGGCTTGAGCTCCTCTCTCCCTCCCTGCAGTCCACTTCCTTTTCCTTGTAATCATTAATTTGAGGGCATTTGCTCATGGGAAAGAAGGTGGTTTCCCCGAGAGGAGCCATTCGATGGGCCTGTGCTTCCCGGGTGGTGGGGAAGGGATAACGTGCTCTGTGCTGAGCAGGCCCAGCAGCCCCACACCTGCTGTAAGTGCCTGCCTGGGCTGATGGCAGGCGTAAGGGAAGTTAGGCACTCAAGCACTCAGCCCACTTCCCAGGGCGTGACCAGTGCTAGTGTCCTCTGTAGTTAGTTAATGCCTGTCCCCTGCATCTGGATGCCAGGTTTTGAACTGATCTGATTCTCCTTGGTGCAGAAAAAGTCAGGAAATCTTCCATCTAGATGTGTTTCCTTCCCCATGGGTTGGAACAAATGTTTAATTTCCCCTTCCTCCCCAGAAGAAGATGGCCAGCCACAGAGTCGGTGCTGGCCCAGCCCACAAGCCCTGCAGAGGTTGGTCCAAGGAGGAGGAGGGAGTGTGCCCAGTTCCAAGACCTCCACTCGCTGACCCCGCACCTGACTTCCGTCCTGACACAGGACACTTCGTATAGATGTGTACAGTATATATATACATATATATATATTTTTAAGTGACATGCCCCTCCCTCCTCAGACCCAACATGCCCAGAGGCCTCAGGACCTTCCACCCCTTTACCCTGCAGACCCAGTGAGGCCTAGCCTCCCGCTCCTCCCACGGCCCTGGTCCCTGGCTAATACTGAGGGTTTGTCCTCCTTTTGTCAGTTTTTTCCTGTTTCGTGTTTTTGTAAGAACTCAGAAAATAAAAGACTTGAAGGAAAGGTGCAAGTTGCAGTGCACCTGGGGCAAACATTTTGCAATTGACTTATTCTTGGGAGTCTGGCTGACACTTGGAGGTGAACAAACCATTGCTCAGGATTTGTTCTTGACTACATGTTGAGGTTCTGGGATGCTGTGCTGAGTGGGACAGTTTGCCTCAGTTAAGTACCTGGTACTAAACTGGTGGGGGGGGCTTCCTGGAGGAGGTGGCATAGCTAAGAGGGAGCGCAAGCATGGCCATGGTTGGTTGCCAGGTGCTGGGGTAGGCCAGACAAATACCCAGAAGGCAAGAAATGGAAGGGGCGCTTTCTAAGCCACCTTTTGAAGTTCAGTTAGGACTGGAGTTGTGGGCAGGCCCTTTTGAGGTACCTGGTGGAGAATGGCTGTGGCGGGCACAGGAGGAACAGAAAACCAGTTAGGACTGAGTTGCCCTTGTATCCAGGTAACAAAGCTTCTGAAATAAGGAAGGCAAGGAGTAGATAAACTCGAAAGACATGTCAGGGTCTCCAGGACTTGATGGCCAGCAGTGCAAAGGCCCACTTCCCAGGGCCCAGGGCAGTGAACATGTGGGGTGGGGAGATTTTCCTTCAATGGTTTTAGCCGCCTGCTAAAGACAGCAAGGGGCTGGGCAGAAATAGTCAGCACGGAGCTGGGGAGGTCTTGGAGACTGAGGTTAGCATCCATCTATACCAGTGATGGCGAACCTATGACACGTGTGTAGAGGTGACACGCAAACTCGTTTTTTTGGTTGATTTTTCTTTGCTAAGTGGCATTTAAATGTATAAAATAAGTATCAAAAATATAAATCTTTGTTTTACTATGATTGCAAATATCAACAAATTTCTATATGTGACACGGCACCAGAGTTAAGTTAGGGTTTTTCAAAATGCTGTCATGCCGAGCTCAAAAGGTTCGCCATCACTGATCTATACCCTTACCTGGGGGCCCTTAGGCCCTCAAAGGTTCTCACTCCCCATAAATGTGTTGGTCTAGAAGTCCTGGTGGGCTTCACTGAAATGGAGACTTTACCCAGAACATTTTGGTTTTGGCCTCCTCTCGAAAGTCAAGAAATTTGGCAACAGGGGCTTCTGCTCCCTTCTGGCAACAACCGGCTGCTGGGTCCTTGTGTTGTTGCCATTTGACTTCTTAGTATAGCAATGATAAGGGTGTGAGGAGGAGGAGGAAGCGGGGCCAAGAGGAGCTGTGCTTAAAGAACTTTGGGCAAGAGCCTACTTCCTTTTGAAGCAGAGTATTCCTCTGGTTAAACATGGAAACCAAGCCCTAACCAGTTTGGCTCAGTGGATAGAGCATCAGCCTGCGGACTCAAGGGTCACAGGTTTGGTTCCGGTCAAAGGCATGTACTTTGGTTGCGGGCACATCCCCAGTAGGGGGTGTGTAGGAGGCACCTGATCGATGTTTCCCTCTCATCGATGTTTCTAACTCTTTGTCCCTCTCCCTTCCTCTCTGTAAAAAATCAGTAAAATATATTTTTAAACATGGAAACCAAGTGTGTCTGTGTTCTCCTGGCCCCACAGGCCTCTGTGTTTGGGCTCCCCCAGTTGCTTCCTCCCACACAGACCATTGGATTCAAGATCTTCAGCCAGTGAACCAGATCCCAACAGAACAGCCAGGAACCGAAAGTGTTCTACTTACTACCTTTTATTAGAAGCCATGTTGCTAAGGGCTGATGGCAAACTTGCTGCGCGGAGGGAACTGGGCTTTGGCAGGGTGAGGAGGGGCTGTGGTGGAGAGGCTGGTTCTGGGGAGAGGGAAAGGGTGGTTTATGCCCCAATTACATAGGCTGGAAAGCCAGAGGGGAGAAGTGTCGTCCCCTCTCCTGCACCTTCTCTCCTTGTCCATGGGCCTAGGTCTTGGGGCTCCATGTTGGAAGCTGCTGTGGTGTCAGAAATGGGGGTCAGCCTAGCTCATGGTCCAGCTCCTTGGGCCTTGTGTGTCTGCTGATTGATGGGGGCTTGGGCAGCAGGGCCCTCCTGGATTGTTAATCTGCTGTTCTGATGTGATTTCTGTCCAAGGATGATGGAGAACCAGGTGCCAGAGTCTCACGAAATGAGGTGCAGGGTGGGAGACGGCGGGAGCAGGGCATGTAAGGGGGAGGAGTATGTGGCTAGGTTTGGGGGACGGAAGAGAGCAAGGAAGCTGTGGCCATGCAGGGCTGACTGGGTGCTGGTGTCTTCAATTGCTGTTCTCACATGGTGGCTAGAGAGATAAGCAGCAGGTTAGGCTTGGAGTCACCATTGTCCCTGCCCCTTCCCAGCATCCAGGGGCCTCAGAGCAATTGAGGACTCTCCAGTGCCCCCTGCTCAGGTACAAGTACTGACTATGATATAGACACCCACAGCACTATTCCTCATCTCTGAAGTAGACATCTCAGGGAGGGTCCTGGAGAATGGACCAGGATCATGCTGTGCTGGGCATCCACCCATGAGAGAGTTGGCCCAACTGGGGACTGGGTCCCCTCTGGAGGGGCCCTTACCTTGGACCAGATCCTGCTTGGTCACACCCAACCCAGATGACAGATCCTCCATGTCCAGTGGTTCTGCAAAGGAGCAGCAAGGCCATTTGTTATGTGAAGTCCAGCTACTGTACCCACTGGTGAGGGGCCTGGGATTATTTCTTCCCAACCTGGGCACAGGCCGATCCTGGGAGAGCAGGTGCTGCCTGGAAGGATGCGTGCTGGATGGCGGCAGTGAAGTGTAATTGGGGAATTAAGGGAAAGGCCAGGAAAGGGGTGAATGAGATGAAATGGGTGGGTCTGTAGGACTTCTGGATGCACAGTGAATAGTGCACGGTGGGTGAGAGTCAATGAAAGGATCAGATGAATGAGTAAGTAGGTGAGTGTGTAAGTAAGGAGAGAAATGATAAATGGACGAACAGATGAGGAATGCACAGGGATGAAGATGGACAAAGCGGTGGATGCATGGCTGAGTGGCTGCCCCCCGGGAGCTTACACCTCAAGTGTCCTGGCCACATGTGTGCCAGGAGGGGCCTTTGGCCCTCAGCCTTCCTGGTCCTTCCTGCTCCTTTGACACTCCTTGGCACAGTGGCCACTGCTTACCACTGCAGTTATGGCGCCCACGGCTTCTGGTGTGGGGGACCTCGGTGCCGTTGGGGAAGACGCACCAGCAGTAGCCGATGCTCCCAAAGCACTGGAGCGGCATATAGTTGCCGTTCTCGTCGCACTGGGGCTTGAACCTGCCCGGGTGGATGGCGGGGATGCGGCTGGCCTCTTCCAGGCATTTGGTCAGTACTGAAGCGACAGGCATGGTGAAGACAGTGAGTGAGCAGACTCTGAGCCAAGGTCTCAGCAGAACAGAGATCCACATACCACTGCTGTGGGCCTAATGCCTTCTGCCCAAGTGGCTGTACTTGCTCTACCCATTGCACAGATGGGAAAACTGAGGACTGGACCAATAAAGTCCAAAATCAAAGAGGAAGTGAATTGCTGTGTGGCTAATTCATTTTAAAATTTGATGATTTCTTCCAACACTCCATGCCTATTAAAGCTTGGAATTTCACCCATGATTCTGATTTCTAAGGAAAAGCAATGGACACCTTGGTAAGTCTGAGCTTCTGTTACTGGGGGTATCCAAGTAGAGATGGGGGTTTGTTTGTGGAATTTGTAGAAGGGATTCAAACATAAGCTGGGAGTTGGTCGAGATAGCATCCAGTGCCTTCTATGAGTGTGATGAAAAAATCTGAGGCCCACACGGGTGGACCCCTGATTTTCTACTTCCTAAACTGAAGCCCAGAGGGAAGAAATGCTCAGCGCTGCATGACAGATTATGACCAGGGTTAAACATGACATTCTTCAAGGCTTTAGAGCTGAAAATCCTGGTGTACATTGTCCATAAGGTGGGAAAAAAGGTTCTCTTGTCTGGCATCCGCTGTCTGTGTGACTTCGGGGAGGTCCCTCTGAGGGGTGAGAAGGTCATTGAAATGACTCCTGGGATGTTTCAGGTGGTTTCTGCTCCAGGCCCACTTGCCCAGTGCCATCCTCCACAAGCAAGATGTACTCTGTGGGCCCTCAGATCAGGATGTGGGCCAGGGGGGCAGCCAAGCCCAGAGGAACAGGCAGGAGAGACAGGAGTGACAGTTGAGAGGCTGGGAGATCCAGTCGCATCAGGGAGCGCTCTAGGCTCTAACTTCTGTGGCTCTGGGAGAGCCCTGAGAGGGGTCTCAGGAACCCAATACCCCAAGGCTCCCAACTCCCTGTACCTTTTGGTGAACCTTCAGTGAGCTTCTCCCCCAGCGAATTCTTGCTCATTTCAAACAAGAGCCACTGATGCATCCAGCTCTCAAAGATCTAAAGGGGACAGAGGCAGAGGGTCAGGCTCAGTAGCCCTCCAACCCTGCCTGGCTTTGCCCCTAAGGGCAGAGACATGGAGGGCCAAGCAGGGCCCCTGCACCCCATGGTCCAGCTGCATCCTGGTTCCCCCTGAGAGAGCCAGAGGGCTTGGTCAAGTTGGTTACTCAACTCCAAGTGCTTTCCCGTGTTGGTGGCGTTCTAAGTTCTGATAAGCCGCCTCCATTTCCTGAGAATGGCCTCCCCAGCCCCGCCCCAGGAGAGAGGGTGCCAGTGCAGGGAAGCCTGCTGACCTTCCAGTCCAGGCCCTCCATGGTCTTCTTAAGGTGTTTCAGGTTCTCTGGGAAACTCTCTTTCATCTGTGGGTACACCTTCAGCGGGTCAGCCTTCTGCAAGATAGCAGGCAGGAAGGAAGGTTAAAAACTCCCTGGCCAGTAAGGTGAAATGTGCAACCCATGTTCCCCTCGTCTTCCATTCCGAGGGGTGGACTCAAGCTGCAGCAAGCTTGGACTCTGGACTGCAGCCATGATGGAGCTGGGGGAGGGGAGACAGTAAAGGCAGTCTAGCTGCACAGGTACAAGACCCCAAGGCTGGAAGGTGGGAGACCCAGGTTCCAGGACCAGTTACACCAGTAACCCTTCTACTCCTACAGATGCCTACTCACCTTTCATTCAGGTCTACCTCCTCCAGGAAGACTTTGTGGACCCCACCCTCAGCTAGGTTGGGTCCTCTGTACCTTTCCTCACAAACCCCCCTGCATGTCCCTCATCACCTGGTCACTTGCCTATTCCCCATGCTAACCTGGGATCCCCATGGGATTGGGACCTGGGTCTGATTGCTCCCCCTTGTGGGCCTAGAGCCTTGCACAGTGCTTGGCACAGAGTAGACATGCAGTAAAAACTTGAGAAGGAAAAAGTGGGTACCTCGGTTTCTCAATCTCAAACACTCAAAAAAGGCGGGGTAGTGGCGGGACTGGAATACATACAGAGTTTAAGGGCCACTCTTGCATTCCTTCACTAACTTGGTGAGCCCATATTGAATGTCTACTATGAGCCAAGGTGTGGGTCTTGGAGTGCGG